AGAACTTCAAATAACAAATTATGCCAGTTATTTGGAGACTATAAAAGATTATGAACAACGGAAAAAATGCTTATCTGCAGCAGAAGATGCCAATCTAAACGTAGAGGCAATTACGAAACTAGTAGTAGAAAGTATACGTTCTAAGAACATCGACGTCGATCCCACTGATTTGAAAGGTACTATGACTGACGCGGACGTTGACAAGATTAATGCTCTGGATTGGTTGATATTTTATCAAAGTCAACGGGAAGAAGCATTGTCGCAAACTAATGCTCTTATAAGATATTTTCTGACAAATGAAAAAATTGACGCTGCTAGAAGAGCTTTTAACAAGGTACGAAGTTGAACGATTCCTTACTTTTTAAATGTTTCTCCAGTTGTTTTTAATCGATGATTTTTTGTCTGTCAAATTTTATAGATTCCAGTAGATTCCATTGAAACTATTATGGCTGAATATCCAACGCTAGAAGGTACTTTAACAAATCTCACGATGACAAATAATCTGTCGAAAAGAGCATCTTCAACGATTCGGGAATACCTTTGTTATAAAACTTATCTTGATGCCCAAGAAGGTTTCGCAGAATGGTTTTCTCATTATCATCATGGAAAACCTACGCCGTTAGAAGAGTTACCCGCATATGCGACGTTCACCGAAAAAGTCGCATATGAACATAAAAAGTCACAATACAACGTAGAAATGGAAAGGTGGAAGTCTACGATGCAACATCATACGAAGGTTCGTGAAATAAAATTTATCATATTAATACGAAATAAAGATAGTTAATTATTTTTAATATTATTAATCTTATAGGCAGTGAAACAATTATTGTTTAACGTATTGTTATTCCCGGATGGTGGTTGGTTGGTTGATTCAAATAACAATAACGAGGAATCATGTACCCCTGAAGAAGCGGCCCGCGAGCATCAAATGGAAAAGTTACGGCAACTTTGTATTCCAAAAGTTACGCTTCTTTTACATTCTGTGATGACCGAAATGAATGAACACGCTGAATGTATACAATTGGCAGACATTCTTGCCTCTGAACAGTATCAACTTTATAAAGTACATACTGATACTATATATCACCGTTCGTACACGGTCAATATGTACTAAAACTGAAAGGTAAAATAATCGATACTTTAATTTATTTCAGGTGTTCCAAAAAGGAAGACTGCGCGAAGTGTTTAAGAAAATCTGCGAATCTTCTCTCGTCCTAATGGATCAAAAGAAAGATCCTTGGGGATACCCGAAATAAATTTAGCAAAATTAAATAAATAGCTAAGGAATATATTCAATTGTATATGTAACAACGAAACAACGTATTGGAATTTTAATATCGAAAAAATGTATAGAAAATTTCCTCAGCTTTTTTATAAAACCAGTTTATTGTCAACCACAAGAAGTGAATATAAAATTTGATACAATGTTCAATAATTCATAATCATAATATATTATATACTTCATGATTATTTAGATGCTCCTTTTACCCAATCATTAATAAATGTAGCGCTGTCAAAGCTGTAGATTTAACGCGTGAAATATTGCGGAGAAATTCAGGGTCAATGAAGGACATACATTATCCTGAGATATTTTCATTCGAATAATAATAATAATCATCGTAATTCCACGATCTTTCTCTATAGTTTAGTCACCTCTAAATCTCATACACATCGTTGGTATCCTTCGGACGTGGATCTGCGTATAGTGGATAAATACATACAAAAGTGTTTATTTGTATATAGAATTTCAAAGGAAACCTTTTCAAAGGTTTTATGTATCGAACGAAAAGATAAGAATCATGATAAAGAACGAAGGTGGTCGTGATGCGTGATGTACATTGGAGTCTCTATTTCTATATTCATAGGGTGTTGATACTTTTTGCCGGCAAGAGCAGTCTTTTCATAACATTTTTTTTTTTTGAGAGCATTTTTCTCTCTATGTGGTTTTATGCGTACATTTGCTGTCTTACTTTCCTCTTTATTTCCGTAAAAAAAGAGACCAAGAAAAAGAAAGAAAAAAAATGAACCGATATTATAAACGAACCATCGCCTATTCTCGTACAATGTATAGACTATATCGAGAATGTTAACATTGCACGGAAATATCTTCATTCGTAGCTGAATCAGAGGATCAAGTAGGCTTTCGTAGATTACTTGTAATTACTCACCAATGAATCGAAACTAGAAAGATATGTATATCACGGAATAATTGACCAAAATATACATGTTTACTCCATGTTTATCCGAATTACTTTCATTTCATATTTTAGAGTTCTTAGCCAGTACGTAGAATTTCAGAACGTGAAATTATTTATACATATTTGGTGGACAGTTATTGAAAAAATTTACTATATTCAAATTTGATCGTTAGTTTGATAATTAAATAAAATTTGATTTGATAGTACGTTTGGCAAATTATTGAACTTATTTCAGAAAGCTACAATGCTCTTATTAAGTTGATCGATTAACCTCAAATATATTAGTAATCTCGCACAAAACAATTTTTATAACACCGAAATCAGAGAAATAACTGTTTGAAGATTTTAAAAGGAATGTATATATTCAATGATGCAATGCGAATAGTTGTAGCGTCGTGAAACAAGTTGTCCGAGCATTTATATTTTCACAATATCTGTTCTCGCTCGATGATACATAAATCTATTCGGTGCAGAATCAATTTCACCACGAGTAAGATTCTTGGATCGAAAACAGACAAAAATAAGATGAAAAGAAACGACGACACGTGCAACATTATACACATACACGGCTTAAAATGCACTACACTGCATTGACATCGAAATTCAAACTCGTATACATCTTTGTATGCAGTTAGGCTTACACTCTGGACCAGAGCGTTTTATTTTCGCATTCACGATGGCCATAAACTTCAGACACGTGCGAGTAGTTCGGTGTTCGATAAACGCAATCAACGATTACATTACATTGAAAACGTTTAAATTAAGCTGGTATTCCAACTATTTAGGTACTTTCATTTCTCTTTCTCTTTCTTTTTTTCTTTTTTTTCTTTGAATAACATAAAACACAATGCACGATTAAATTATGAAAAAATTCGATATGTTCTTAAAACCATGTTCGCACGTGTCTCGTAAAAACACGAGGACCTTGACAATTGAATCGACTTTACAGTAATACGAGTACACGATTAATAGAGTTACTTTGTTGATTAGTCTAGTCTAACACGTAAACGTTGAAAAAAACGGTTGACAATTGTTTTACCATTTCTCGATAATTCTACGTTATATTTTTTACTTTTTTGTTCACGCGAGAGCTGGATAAATTCGCCGAAACATTTCGCATACTTTCCAGAATCAGGTTCGTTTTCGTTTCTTCCTCTTCTCGACACGTTTCTCGGATAGAGTAGTTGATAAATATTTTACTTCTTTTTTTTTTTTCTTTATTTTCGTTTCTTCGTTTAAACTTTCACGAGCTATGTCATCCTCTACGAGACCTACTAATCACTAATGGGTGGGTGTCAGCATGTTCGAAAACGACTTATCTACAGATACTTGGATATGGATTTCACGAATTTTTCTCTCCTTCGACTCTTCGCACTCGCGTCTGGCCATTCTACTGCTTTCGATCGGATTTTTAAACACGGTCTCTCATCGACGCGTTCTCTCTTAACGATAAAACATCGTGGCACTCGCCCATTGATACTCGTCGTTCAAAAATATAGATCCTTAGAATTTGTTAAACACAACTGAGGACGGTCTATCGTAATAAATCAATTCTTTCTTATCGACACCACTTTGTACGTTGTTCGTATCGCGCTGGCGAATAAAATCCTTCTGAATGTTTTGCGACTCTTAAACTCCATACCCGTACGCGTCCTCCATCTTTCGTTTCTTCTTCACACGTACGTCACACGCGTAGACGTACTTTATCAGCGAAAGCAAGAAAGCAGACTGTTTCACAAGAGCGCAAAGAGCCGAAGCGCCGATATACCGTTTCTCCCTTTTTTTCTCTCGCTCTCGACGCCGTGTTCTTAAGTGTGAAAATATATTCTACGACAAGGATAAGATTCACAAAGATATCCACTTTTAAAAGCCTTCCAGTTCTCTTCGCGATACATCGTTGAAACAAGAAGACCTTTGTCGTTACATACATATTGACAGTGTTATACATCCGTTCGATCGATCGACGCTATTAAAATCGCTAGTTCGAACGTTCTTCTTTACTTATCTCTACGGTTCGTTTGCCACTCGCTCGATCTTTCCCATTATCAATTCCGATCGATCTCGATTCTTCGCGCATTTCTGTCAGCGGTATCTGTCGATCCGCCATGTTCGTTTTTTCCTTTCTTATTTCTTCATCCGATCGTTCGAGATATCCGTCAGATGGCATTTGCGAAAAATCAGAGATACAAACGCCGATCTCGAGGACTCTCGACAATGTCCATGCAATTTCCTTACGTTCCAATTCAAACGACAGTCCGCTGTTGTCTTTTCTTTCATCCAATAAAACACTAATCGAGAACGTTTCGTCTGAAACCTTTCGAGCCTTACATTAGGGATATGTTCGTAGGGATATGTGAGCGGGTATAGTAGAGGGACAAAACTGGGTATAACAAATACAGAAGTTCTTCGAAACTATGAGCCAAGAAAGGATTACACAGGGAGGAACGCGCTTGAATACGAATTGAGCGCTAACGGTATAGAATCAGATTCTATCGGTCTCTTAGGTTCTTCTTTTTCGCTTAAATTCCTCGAGTTAATCGATTCTTGGATTCGTCGATTTCCTCCTCGACGAGAGGATCGACGCTTGTGGAAGGAAAGTTACACGAGTAAAACGCTATTTGAACTACGATACGAGAGACACAAAATGTAAACGTGTTTAACTGCTATAAGATAATCGCTAACGATTCGAAATTCACGCTTCGAACGTCGTACGCTGGAAACCAAGTACGTCGTTTCGTCGATCCGAACGACGGCCGATCGACCGTACGATCATCTTCGACGCTCGTACATATTCTCCATTCTCTTCTCATATTTTCTTCTTACGTGGTTTTTAAATTACACTTCGATACGGCGAGAAAAGAAGGTTTTCGCTTAACTTCTAAACTATCGTTTTTTTCTTTTTTTTTTTTATTCTCTCTCTCCTTAACTGCTAACAACTTGAGGGACGTCGCTCGGGCTGCTCCGTGAATATTCTACGGGACAAAGTGAAAACGAGAGACAAAGAGAGAGAAATAGTCGCGTGGAAAGTGCACATATACACGAAAGAGACGGACAGAGAGAAAAAGAGAGGAGAGGAGAGGAGAGGAGAGACGAGATTATTAAAAAGAGAAGATCTTTACATTCCTATCTAAAACTTTCGTTCGTTCTGTACACTCGTTTACAGCTAGTAGCTTAATGCCGGCGGAATTGTGCGCCGTTTAAATTCTCTTTTTCTACACTTACAACTCGAATAATTGATCCGTACAGATACATATTTGTCTTCTAACGAATGGCGTCTGCTGTCCTACGACCGAGCGTTTTCTTCGCGCGGCCATTCCTTCGACGAATCACCGTATCCGTTGTCCGATCTAATAACCGACAAACGCGATCGATCATTATCGGACGTTTGTACTTGAAAGGATCGAGCGTGATTATTGTCGGAATTTCAAAATTTAGAACAGTAAACCGTATCCACGAATATCGTCCAGCGTTGCTTTCGATCGTCGCGATCGTCGTTCGGATACGTTTTACCATCCCCTCGATAAAATATAGAACTCTTTGGTCGCGATTAATCGCGTTATTGTCCGAGTAACATTGGCGAACGAACGATCGATCCTTACGGTTTCAACAGCTCGTTTATTGTCTCGAGTAAAAGCGGGAAACGCGGGGACAGCGAGTTTCGTCGTGTCCGGCGTCTTTCGAAACGTTCCTTTCTCTCGCGGCTCGCGCGTAAATCGCTGGATTCATCGGAGCAGCCCCTCTGAATTTCCGATCCGGCAAGTCGGTATTATATTATTGTCGTTCACAGAAGTAGGAGTTTTATATCCGCTTACATGCTACGATCCGCCTCGCTCTTTCGAAGGACTCGCTTAGAAAGAAGAATAACAGATACGATAAGGGAGAAGGGACGAAGAAAAGCAGTGAGACGAGGAAGAAGAACGAAAATGGCGACGAGGATGCGTTATTCTAAGGTGTACAGACCCGAAGAAAATCATGTGGAATCGCGTGGTATTCTCTGGAGGATCGCCGTCGAGCATCGCCGGAAATATCGCAATCCGGACGCGTTCAATCGACACGGCGATCAAACGAATCTTCGGTTTCGCCTTATGGTCGCTTAATTAACTTTACAAACGCGTGTAATACGTAGTATCCTTACTTGACACTGTTGTTTCTTTGACGCATCTCGCTTAAAAGCTCGAGCAACGATGTCCAACGTGCGTATTCGTTGCTTGTTTACGCGTGTTGCTCGAAGTGGAGCCGATCCTTTTGATCCATCGTAAATCGAAGGTAGAGCAGAACGGTATAAACCGTTGTGCTAGGTATTTGTCCAATCGTCATTGTCATTTTGGTTATCGCGATTGATAAGCGCGGACGAATACAAACTGGACAACGTTGACAGCTAAACGATGTAAATTTCCGAATTTTCTTTCATATTTATGCATGTAGTACCTCGCATAATGTATGTATGTTTAATATATATATATATCTGTGTGTGCGTGTGTGTGTTTTTGTGTATGTATATATATATATAATGTTTATGTTAGGTATGAATGCATATGTAATTAAATACAGGCTGGTCTTCGTGCGTTAAGCAATCGGAATTGCAAAGAATTTTGTTGACTGCTGGCAATTTTGAGGACACCCCGTTACTTAGAATCTGGACACTGCATAGTTTTTATTATTCACGTTTAAAAAGAGGGAGAGATATATCGTTTCTTTTCTTTTTTTGCTACCTCGTTAATCTCTACGTTTCTAGAGTGATTATGTATTTTTCTGATTTCTTGGTTGCACGACATCTCATTCCTTGCACGTATCGCGCTACCTGTTCGCTTGTCGTTACGTCTTCGTGAATCGATTTCGATTGCATTCCCCAGTTAAAACAGACTAAACTGTCTCACTCGATACATCCTTGCGAAACGAAACATCAGCGTTAACATTCGGTTCTATGAATTGACCACGTACGGATACGTTCAACGCGCAAGAAACCAGCTCCTAAGTACTACAGGGTATCTCTTGTCCGAGTGGTTCCTAATTCGTGTAATTAGAGAAGTTCATTATCTGTACCCAAGGCACATTTTATACTTTCATTCCGTTTTAGGAAGGTCCACTCTATAGTATGTACATATTATAGCATTGTTACACGTATAGGGGATAGTTTGCAACTGTATCACCCTTAAATTACATAATGTCTGACGTTACCTTGTACATATTTCCCCGTTTTTTTTTTCTTCAGCGATTCCTTCATCGTTTACTACCCTACGTATTATTGTCAAGTCGACAGCATTTATAAATGTATATCTTAAGTACTACTCGATCTTTAATGTTACATTATACTCGACTATAGCTTTGTGCAAAATTTACATTGTACATGTACCACGGATACTTTCCCCGTTCTTTCGTTTATCACCGATATACGCATCGATCTACACCGATCGATTCTGCTCGATAAATTATAATATCCCTCCCTGTACCCACGATGAACAATACAAGTTTCACGTTATTGTCAGAAATTATCCACGTTTATACCCCGCTCCCGAATTATTATTATTGTCAGAAATTATTCTCGCTCTCCTTTTCCTAAGTAGTCTCTTAAATTCTTAAACGTTAAAAATCACCTCGAATCTCGTTCTCCTCAAGTGCCGTGTTAATACGTGTATGTATGTATGTATACAATATATATAATTATATATATATATGTGTGTATATATAAATATACATATACATATACATATACATATATATAGTATAATATGAAATATTGAATCTGATAGAGATCTTAAAAATATTCTGCTAATCTGTTACGTACGATTAAACCTTACGAGCTAAGTACTTTCTTACAACCTTGTATCGTGTTCAGCAGATTTTAACAATCGCCTTTTTTTGTTTTTGTTTTATCACCGTCGTTATCTACGCGAGTTTCCTTCGAATCCGAATTTACCTTTCCCTTCGTCTCGTTTTGTTTCAGATCTAGCCTTGCGATCGCACGTACGCTCGTAACTCCTCGCGTATTGTTTTAGGCAATGTTTAAGGGTTAATTCATCTTATGAATTGTAACATACCGACGACGAACGTCGTTGTAACCATCGACAGTAACGGCACGGCCGCGTGTGCGTCGTTGACAACGTTTATCTTCCAGCCCAGGTTATTGTGCGTGTAACACTGCGGAGACAAATTGTTCTCGTTCTTATAACGTTCTTTATTCGCGACAAGATCATGGCAAAAGCGTCGATCTCGCGTTCATACGATGTCGATTGTATCTTTATGAATCGTACCTGATAATAGACCAAATCCGGAGTATCTTCAGCCACGGTCCAAACGAGTTTAGCGGGCTCACCCTTGTCACACTCTAGTCTAAGGGTTTCAAAGAAATTCTCAAAAGTTTCCATATCCGCGCTCATGTCTACCGTCTTGTGAACCCATTCGCAGTAACGACCAGCCGCCGTGGGATAAGGATATCCGTCCGTGTCGTATTTTACTCCAGCAAACACTCTCTGTGCCCTTTGCTCTGTCTCGGTCTTTTGACCGAATCCACCCTCTGGACTGTCGGTGATATAAAATGGATGGTACCTACAGGAAAGAAATCGCGTTCTTGCACTCTACGCGAAGCAGAAACTTACCATTTCGCAGGTAATTTCGAAAAGAAACAGTTCGTAAAACAATGGCTTCGACGATACGTTCGAAAATTCTATGGAAAATTGTAATCGAATGGCAGTGAACGACGTATGCCGGCGCTACGAATTTCCTATAATTATCGAACATCGAAGGAGCGGCGAAATGAAGGAAACAGAATACAAACCGGACTAATAATAGTTTGAAATTTCAACTCGCCTTGCTGGATTAGCCGGATCGTTCCCACCTTCGACTATGAACGTGTACGTCTGTCCTCTCTCCACTGTGATTTCAGGGATCAGCAAGTCGTTGATGTACCACGCGATTCCCCAAGCAGGTTGTCCTACGTTTTAATCGCCGATCATTACGATATTCGAACAACGCGACACGAACGTATAAAAAAGATACGGGATAAAACGATTTGTTAAAAATAATAGCCCAAGGTTCTCTCGTTAACGCTCGTTTTAAAAGCTATCCAACGAACGTAGCATACAAGCAAGGATACCTGTGATCCTCGTGTATCCTCTTTTGCCACCAGCGGGTCCGATCCTCGTGCTGAAGGTAGTTTCGTTGGTGATTACGGCTGCTGGCCAGGGTTCGATGTCAGACATGTCCGGGAGGTTGTAGAGGGAATTTGTACACTCGTGCACGTTCCTCGACGTAAAATCAATACGAATGTCCTCGTTCGTCCTGTCGAAACTGTGATGAGCATTGGCTTCTCCTCTCATATTCAGAGGTCCTATCGCCGCGATTACGCTCGTCTCCGTGTTCGGGATCATTCTGTCCTTTACCGGCTCGTTTGTACTCATAGGTCTCATATAAGTAACTGAAATGTTGATCGCGAACGTTACGTCACGCTGTAATCTTCCACGATAAATGAAATAAATAAATTTAATACACTTTGTCCTAATTGATTAGTACGTATATAAATGCCACGATAAGTACAAATGCTTTTGGCGATCATTGAAAAAGTAATTTCTTACCTGTCGTCACGCCGTTCTTTCGTTCTCCGTGCACAAGAACGGCGTCGTTCTTCCCTCCGACCCTTTCATCGGGACACACACCCTTCTTGCCGTCGCATTGAGCGTAATCCGACAAATAATAGTCGACCGCGATGAATTTACCGGTTCTGTTGTCGTAAGCGACCACGACCACGTCGCCACCGATCATCTCGGGCTTTCCTTCGCGACCGGATAAACCGAACGCAACGTACTGGTCCTCGTTGATCCGGCCGGACACTCTGATCTGGATATCGTCTCCTATCATCTCCCACTGGACCTGCACACGGCCCTCCATTATCTCTTTGCAGTTGGTCAGCTCGAGTTTCGACAGAGGCGGCGTTTCCTTGTCCGGCGGTGGTGGCGTGCTGCTTGTCTGCAAAAACAAGGCAAGTTTTTGCCTTTTACATAGGAGCCACGCTTGTATTTAAAACGGATGATCGTTTCTGACACGTGGAAATCGTCTGTTTGATAGACTCTACGTTACTTACAGGATCGTACCACCAAGGCGGCTATCCCGATAAAAATACATTTCGTTAATGAAATGTCAGATTCAATTGAACGAACGTAACTTTCGTTTTTTAACAGGTGCATGAATACTAAGAAATGAAATTCAGTTTGTTCGCGAACAGTTCGTTTCCAGTTACCGCGATCTTTGTCTGTCCAAGAGCCGGTGGAACGTCGAGGTCCTTCGGGATCATAACGTGTCCAAAGTTGTGCTTAAACTGAACGCACCAAACCGACAGCCAGTCGATGTCGTGCACGGTCAAGTTAGCCGGCAGAACGATTTCTATGTCCGCTCCTTGATAACCGCTTAATGGCGCCAAGCTGTAAAATGCGAATGCTCGTTTTTTATTCGTAACGCACGAAGTCTAAAGGAAAGTTCGAACGGATGGAATAGATCAAGTACGACGTACCTTTGTCTCTCGCTCGGTACTTTGATGCCAAACGTGTTGGGCTCCGAGCCGTTTCCAACCCAGAAATAAGCGTCAGGACCGGCGCCGTCGTAATGCAGATTCGGGATGTAAATAGTTTTGCAATCTAAGATGGTGATGTTGCCGCTGCGGAGGCCGTGCGCCAACCTCGAGAATTCAGGCAGCACTCTGGCCTTCGGCGCTTTCAGGTTCGCCGGGATGAAAACGTCTCCGAAGTTCACCTGCGGCAAATTAGACGTAAGTTTGATTCGATCCAACATTTGCACCGATGAAATCCCAGCGACGGAATAGCGTCGACGTATAACGCGACAATTTAAAGTTGAGGTTTCTCAGAGTTGCACGGGACATTGCATTCTCTAACTTTTCTGATCTTCCTGTCGAAGAGATTTCTTCCAGTCTCGCGTGGGACCGAGTTTCACGAAAAAGTCGAGCGATTCGAAGGTTCGATTTCCCTGTCGAAGGTAAAGGATCAAGAGGGCAGGCAGAGGGAGAGAGAGAGAGAAAGAGAGAACGAGAAAGAGAGAGATTTCCGGCGTCGAACAGGAACCGTCTCATCAAGCTGTCTTTCAGAGACCGCATATTTACACCCTGCCAGTCGAAAAAGTCGATCTATCATTCCTTACCCCCTGTTGAAGCTGACGTATCGATAGGGCCTGGTTTGGGGTCGTTTATATTCTAAGTTCCGTCAAACGTCTGAATAAGCGAGACGAGGGAAGCACAGGAGTGGAATAACGATAGAAAGAAAAAGAGAGGAACGCGATTGGAGAGGTGGAGGTTTAAAGGGCGAAAGAGAGAGAGAGAGAGAGAGAGAGAACCGACGAAAGTAGAGAAAGAAAGATCTCGAGCGGGACCTCGTAAAATCCGAGAAACGGATTCCACCCCGTATACAGGGTGATCTACTCGCTTATCCCCTGGGGAACGTTTTATGGGAGAAAATTCAGCGCTCGCGACGATTTCTCAACTCATTCCGTAACCCTGGACAAATCTATTTCGCGTACGATACAGTTTTATACACTTCCTCTTTCTCCCCTTCTATTCTCTGCTCCTTTTTTCTCCCATTTTCACGCCGTTTTTAAGTCATTTAAAAATATTTAAAAAACGTTTGCTAATCGCTTTGTTTCAGATCGATCAAGAGACTCTGCAAATTTATATGTACAGCGAGTTATTTCGTTTTCGACCATTTTATTCGATCCGAACGTGCCAATTTTGTTTCGACTATTTAAGGATATTTCAATAGGTTCAAGCATCTACTTGCACGTGTGATTGGCGTAGACCGATTAACCGGCTCTGTCGGCCGCTATTTTTCTATTGTCTTTTTTATCGACTCCTCGAGAAGTGTGCCAAGAGTGGAAGATTGAAAAGTCGGTGAATATCTTCGACGTCTTCGATATTCCGCTCAAGGCTACTGTATACGTGGCCTGATTCCGCCCGTTTCGAGATGTTCTTTGGAACCGACTCGCAGACTTTTGTCTACAAAGAAATCGATACGCGCGATACCTTGAACCGACGATATGAGTTTTCCATATCAGGGTCGCCGGATTCGTTAAATTATTTGCTTTTCCCTACCGACAAGCTTTTCGAGTCACGGAAGAACGTCGCTGCAATTGGGCCAAGAAATTTCCAGGAGAACCACTCTCCCGGCAACTTTGTCGTTTTTCTTGTCTCGGCAACTTGATCCATCGATGAACGGCGCGGAAAATTTCGAACAGCGATTCCTCAAAAATCGTTCTTTCACTTTCGTCTTGAACCGATCGTACGAGCCTCTTCGAAGCGTGGAATTTCACGAACTTACAAATTCATCTATTCCGTTGCAGACCGATTTCTAGTTAAAACGTATAACGTACGACGATCCTGACGAACTTGCTTGCGAACTAGTCGCTCTGTTCTTTATCTTGAAACTGGTCACCTTTGTCGTTGCCTCTTTAATCGTTTCCTTCGCAACGCTCCTTCCACGTGATCTTATTTTCGCGATTACTTTTCCAATACCAACCGACGATGATAACACGAATTGTCTCGCAAGGCAAGCACGCGTCACTGACTCGAACCAGGGTAGATACATCCAGGTAGGTAGGAAAAATCGCAGGTAAAAACGCGCGTGAATGGGACTGGAGCTTGGGCGAAGGATCGACTAGCCGATTACTCGATTAATAATTTTCCGGCGAGGCAGGAAGTTGGCGAGCAAAAGAACTTCGCGGCGTCGCTTTTAAAAATTAATCTTCCACCGATGTACACTCTTTTTGGCCATTCAACCGGCAAATTAACGTTCACCTTTATTTTTAAAGCTCAACGCGATCGGAGAACGTCGAAGGAAATTAAACATTTGGACGGACCGATTGGAAACGACGGAAGAAAACGGATGCGAAACTTTTCGCCATTGTCTACGAAGTTTTCGTCGGCATTATGTCGGCGCCCGGAAAGCAAAGTAGCTCCCTTTGAGTTCTCCCGAGTCCGCACTTCGTCGAATACTAATTCCATCGTTAATAATAATGATTATCGGCAAGCCGGGCTCGACGTTTCCCTTCCCGTCGGCTGAGTTTGAAATTTGCACGCGCATTAATCCCATTTCGTTTAAGGGCTCGTCAATCATATCCACCCTCTGCGAGTGGTTATGTGCTCGCGTATACGCAGACAGTGCTATAGACAGACACACAGAAAGAGAGAGAGAGAGAGAGAGAGAGAGAGAGAGGAGCGGAGATGCTGGCTACCAATGAACTAGAACTCGAGCTTAATGGTGTTTTGAGTGGGCGAGATCTTCTGAAAATTGGTGCTTATGCGAGTATGCGAGTCGAGGGTCCAGCCGAGTTTGCACGTTGGGTCCCCGGATGAATGAATTACTCGTCGATTAATTCGTTGTTACTCGACGTACTCGATACCGTACGATGTTGTTCAAACGTACACGAGGGAGAAGGTAATTTCGAAAACAATTTAAGGTGCCTACGCGTAAAGCGTTTTACGCGAAAGAAATTCCATTGAAAACGGGACAATGGTTGTGTAACTTTGGTATTCACGTTGCGATTAATTACGTTGTAAATTTACGAAATCGTGGGCGCTATAATACGAAACGTTCGAATCTGACAGCACCCACGCGTCTTCCTTCGATATTTAACGACAACCCTTAGCATTAAACGCAGACATCGTCCAACGAATACCTTTTATTTACGATCACCCACGCGATTCCACGATCTTCCTTGAAACGTTATACCTTCGATTAAAACGAACTTGCTCGATATTTTTCGCCAAACGTTCACTTTGCCTCTTTCACGCGGATCTTGCGCGAGATCCATTCGCCCGTCCATCCCGGACAGTTTACGCGCTAAAACTTTTCATCTCGCTTTCCAACATCGATTTTCCCCCGGAAGCCATCGCGCGGCCTCCGTAGGAATGCCATTGTTTTCGCGATAATCGCTAAAGGCCGGGAACACCGAAAGTCGCGATACTTCGACGTCGATCGTCGAACGGATCGCGTGCCGCGTACGGTATCATCCGTAGCCAATAATTAATCGCCCTTTATCGAACTAGCTTCTGATAAACTTTCCATTCGAACGAAATTCCATTCGAACGACGTTCCCCTTTACGTCGAACTTTTTTCATTATCAGATAAGAATCGCTAATGTCCGACTAGACTCGTGTTTCTGCTAATAATCGTCGATGGAAAATTCGATAAATAATTTCCTCGAAAATGATCCGAATATTATTACTCGGAATTGTAATCGATCGGAGGAATAAAATTTCCGGTAAATTGAAGTCGCGCGAAGGGAAGACACCGGCAGTTTATAAATCGGGATACGATGGTCACGAGGGATCCTCGTCGATCCGGTACCTTTGATCTGGTCGTTATAGGCCGGTGGAAGTTTCACCGAGGGTTACTGCAGCCCCTAATAGACTGTTTATCTCGTAAGCTGGGATTTAGATTCGAATCGGGTTCTATTATGCGAGTCTTGAGTCTATGTATGCGCCATGCGCGCACCCCTGCGTAAATCTCTTTAAATCTAATGTCTTCCGCGTAACACAGTGAACGTTTTTCCGTGCCAAATGGCAATGGATATAAATTATAAACTCGCGATCACGCGTCACAAGAATGCGAAGGTTCGAAGAAAATTCGAAGGTTTGCAGATTCGAAGATTTAAAATCTCGGATTATACCTGTTCTCAGAGAACAAGATTTCCGAATAAATTCACCGCGATCATTTTTCTTACGTTATTTTCGAAAAAAACGTGACCAAGACCCCGGTCGGTTGATTTGGATTAAGACCCGTACCGCCCCATGAACGCAATTCACGGGGGTGGTCCCCGTGGACGGGTGCGATACGACCGATGCTGATATACTCGTTATAACCAAGGCGGGTGCCCGAGCAGTCGATATTCAATCAAATAAATCCCCCTAACAAACTGGAGAGTCAGAGATAGCATCAAGAAACAATCCCGAGGAAAGGGAGGCGACTACACGATCAAGGACGAACGGATCTAATAATCTGCCCTTGTAACTGAAAAATATCGTCTCTGTACGTTTCCCTTCGCCTTTACATTCACCAATTATTATTGTACTTTGATCCCTTTAATATCTCGGAAAGAAATTGCCCGAATGGATTCTCGTTAATTTACGATAATTTGAGGAAACGATCCAAGTGTTGGTAAAATTAAGATACAGACTCTAGAACGACTCTAGAAAGAATCCAAATAAAGTTGTATTAAAATTTCGATCCAAAACTAATATAACAATTGCTTCTGTTAAAACAAGTAAACGTAAGATTAGCAAAATTATCGTAATAAAAATTGATCGAGGAAATAAATGAATCTAATCGTAACTTACAGAAGCTACCACGTGTCCGATACAGCGATACACACATCGATTCTATCTTTCTCCCCAAAGCTTTCATCCGTGTTTGTCGATCCCTTAGCGATAATCTCAGCAGTGGAGGCTAATAATTACGAAGGAAAGAAAGAAACGGGACGACGATGCATCCGAATCTGAGGGATTCCGAACAAGTCATAGCCGTATATTATTTTAGCACCTTATCAGCTCCGTATCGCCGTCAGACAGGCAGGCGTTCCCCTTCGGGATTGGTCACCCCCTGTTGCGAGGCGCACGTTCTTACGGAAATTGAGACATCGAGCCTCGTTAGGCTCGATAGCAACGCCCCTTATCCCTGTTCTTCGTCAAACGAGAGCAAACGCACGTTATGTTGCACTTTACTGCTACCGGGCCGGCGATTCTAGTCTGT